GTTTCCTTATTTTAAATTCAATGTCTCACACTTTGGTTACTTTCCAATCTGAAATGCCTTAGGATTAGGGAGCAGGCTATACACTTGCTTCTCCTACCCCAACGTCTCCTCATAAGTCAAATTCGTACCAATGCGCACAAACAAGTAAACTATAAAAGAGCAATCCTTGCTCCTTGGCAAAGTAAGAGTTCGAAGGGATGAGGTATGACTTCAAGGGCAATGGGAAAGTCCTCTTCTCCAAATATATTTTTGTAACTCCAGATCTATGTTTGAAATTCTATATTGATGATTTCCACTCCTTAGCTCCCTCTTTAAGAAGCAAAAACTCTTGGAAGGATTAATACTTTAAGTGACTATCTGTTATTTACACCTTAATATGGAGCAATTCCAGATCATTTTTTGAAAGTAGGTTTTGATTACGGGGAAGGTGGAAAAGACAAGAAGGGATGTATAGAAGAAAGGGACAGGATGTCATCAGGATGTAGGAAACGGCAAAGCTTAGTGAGGATTTAAAAAACAAACACACACACACACATCTACACAACTTTCTCTAGGACTGGCTTTGCAGGAGAGAAAATAAAAGCTCCTGGGGGTACAATAATCAAGGTTTCTGAGGGCACTGTATAAAGGCTGGGCACATCACAGGGCTTCTAAAGCCAGTAAGGACAAATTCAATTAATAAGGTGGTGTATAAAATGTCCCAGCTGTGCTGAGGTTTAGAGGAAAACCAATTTCAAAGCCAGAGAAATTTGGAAGCTTCTCATATCATTATAGAAAGACAGACACAGGGGCCCCTTAGGAGAACCATCATCTTCTTCTGGGATAATGAAGGGACAGTCATATAATCTGAACATGCAGAGACCATGAACCAGAAGACAGAAGTCTCAAATTCCTCACATTAGCAGAGATGCCAATAATTCTCCCAAACAAAATCATTCACTTTAATGTTTCCTTCCTGCCCTTAAAAGAGAAAGACGTTTTGGCCATCTATTTGGGCATTTCCTAGGATACCCAGTGCACAAGTGGGGTGTGTGCATGTGTGTGCGCATGTGTGCGTAAGGATGTGAGGGATAACCCAGACTACAGCTCTCTGCTTGTCTGAATTTGATAAAAGCAAGACAAAATGAACTGGGAAAGGAGTATAATAAATAACAGAGTATGGTCCCAGAAGGGAAAACTGGAAAGAATGAGAAACCAGAGTTTGGTGGGAACATGAAAACAGAATTGCCTTTGGTGGCACACCCCCCAAAGTGAAGTAAGATTAGTCTCATCTACTGTCTCTTATCTCTGACCATTCTGGATGAAATGAGTGAGGTATATGTGGGAGGATCTACACTTTTTACACTTCTATAAAACGTGAATATTTTAAAATACGTACTTATTACTTTTCTAATTAAGAAGAAATGTATTTATAAAATACAGTGGTATAAAAGGGAAAAAGGAGGAAGTATAATAAGGGAAAATCCAATAAGCTCCAATCCATGGGAGGGACTAAGGAGGTCAGTAGACCATTAAAAATATCTGGGAGGAGGGGATCCTTATGTCTTAGAAATCCATCTTCCTTTTCTCTACTCACCTCCTTCCCCAAGTGCCTCTCTGTTTGACCCAACTTTTTAATAGCTCAGACACCCGGGCTCCTGAAGAAGTAGACAAAGAACAGGGTTGATGCCAACCTTCTGGAATGGAATTTCTCACTCTTCCCCAAATCCCTTCCTCAGTGATGTCACCTCATATTTCCAGGCTTGGTCCCACATAACCATTACCTGCCTGTGAAATACCCAAGCCTAAGTGCCACAAAAGTTTCACCAACTATGGTCAGGAGATCTCTGGATGGCTGGGGATCCCTAAGCCCAGTTCCAATGCAGAAAATGAGTCACTGATTCCCCACGTCTAGGTGAGAGGTATGGTCTCCAGTATAGACCACATTATTAAATAGGAAAGAAACGAACAAACATCCCCCAAATCTAACTTCTTAGCTTTTTCACAGGACATCAGAAACAGGAGGTTAGAAGAAACCCAGAGGCTGCAGCCTAAACCAGCTCGAGGCGAGGCCAAGGGAAAGTGCAGGGGCCGAGTCTGGAATAGCCAAGAGTCACAGAAAAAAAAGTTACTTTTGTCTTCATTGGCTACCCTGGGAGTACCAAAAAACTTCAAGTTGCCACATCTCCACACTGATGGGAACAAAAGCGTGATTACTCGCGAGCCCCAGAGCCTCCAGCCCACCCTTCAGCATTCCCAGAAGCTCCCATTACTGATGGGAGGCCCTGCTTCCACTGCCCCGGCTACCTGAGTCTTCTAGATTAGAAAAGCTTTCTTCGCTTGTCTCAGTTCTCCCGCACTGAACCCAAATCCCTCTCAGCTCAACTTTGGGGCACCCTAGTTATTTTTATAAGTCACTTTCCCTGAAAAGAATGCCTCTTACCCAGCTAAGAGCCCTTCCCTGGCCCTTCCAATGAGACCTCTCGAGAGAGCCCCAGCCCCGGCTCCCCTCCGGGCCCGGGCACTGAGTCTGACCCCTCCTTACCTCCGGGAGAATGGACTTACCTCACCCGCCGCCCAGTCCCTTTCCCCCAGTTCCTCCCTCTTCGGCGCCGCTCAATGAGGCCTGCCCTTGCCCGCACACGAGCCCCGGGCCTCCCGCGCCGGCCCCCAGCCTGGCCGCCAACACCACCCGGCCGCCTCCCCGACTCACCAACTTCGGGCTCCCAGCCCGCCCGGCCCCCTCCTCAGCGCCCCCATTAGGCCTGCCGGGGCCCGGCCCCCTTCTCCTTTCTCTGGTGGGCCACTCTAACCCCTCGCAGAGGCCCAGACCCGCCTCTGCCCTCAGGCCGCACTCCTCTCCGGGGCGCCTCCGCCCCTGCCCTTGCGGGCTCCATCAGCCCGGTACCTGGGGCTCCGTCTCCCCCGTCGGGCCCAAGCCTGTGTCGAACAGACAAACAGCTGCAGCTCAACCAAACCCTCCTGCCCCTCCTCCTCCTCCTCGCCCTGTGGCGGGGGGCCCAGCCAATTGCACGATTACCCGCCTACCATCAAGGGTGGGCTCTGCGCGTGCTAACCCGCCAATCCTCTGGAGAAAGGCGGTGCTGTCACCGAGGCGTAAGAGCAGAGGACTGGACAGGCGCTGCCCCAGACCAATACAGAGAGGGAAACTTTGAAGATGGACGAGGTGAGGAGTCACTAAAGAGCGAGCTCCCCGAGATAGGGGGCGGTACCCTGTTGACAGGCGTATACTCTAGCCAGTAGAATCGCGACGCCCTCATGACCCCGCCTTTTAACTCATAAACATCTAATCAGGTGAGCGATGGGGGCGGGTCAAAGTGAAACTTTAACCAGTACTGAGAAAATTCGGGACTTGAATGGCAGGCAAGGCGGGGTTGAAAGAGGCCTTAGGAAGGCCGCTACTGACCTTCGCCCCTCCCCTGGGATTTGGCGGGGCCTGCCTCTGGCGCCCCGCCTTCTATCACAAATTCGCGGACGTGAAGGGAAATACCTCTCCTAGGGACCCGGAGCCTAGGAATTTAAGCAGACCTCACGTCGGTGCTTCCTCCTTCTAGTGGGGCCCCAGAGCACAGGAATTTTGGGGATGGCCCGCCGCAGGCTGAGATGTTTTTTTGGTGAGCTGAGACAATGGCAACTCCAAGAAGTGGTAGCTTGGGGAGGCTTTAGCCCCTTTATAATAATTTTTCATACAGACGATTGATATATTCTGAATCGCATGTAAATGTGAATAAGTATCTTTAGAAAACTTTTCTGTTTGTGATATGGAACAAAAAGAAAACAAGACGAGGGCTTCCCTGGTGGCGCAGTGGTTGGGAGTCCGCCTGCCGATGCAAGGGACTCGGGTTCGTGCCCCGGTCCGGGAGGGTCTTGCGTGCCGCCGCAAAAAACAAAACAAACAAACAAAAAAAATGGTAAAAAGAAAACAAGACGAGCTTACTGGGAAATGCAGCGTCAATGCGAATTACCTTGGAGCCCACTTCCAACCATACTGCTGCTCCTGAGCCCTAACATTGAAAATCTGGAACTGGAGCCTTGTGTGTATGTGTTATGTGATACGTGTGTCTGGGGGTGGGGTGGGGGAGATGCTGGTTTAGGGGAAAGTGAAGTAGGAAATACATAAGCCTCACTTTCCTCACCTGTAAAATGGGGGCAATAATTCCCACTTCACCCACCCGCGGCACTCTCCCAATTGCATCACAGAGGTCGAAATGGAGTGGGGTGGGTAGCCCTGCATAGAGTGATTAGGAAAAGGGGTCTGAAACCTATTATCACATGCACACATTCATATTCTCTCTCACACCATTCTTTCAGCAAATATGCAAAAGTAAAGGAGGAGAGACATGAACTATAAAACCAGGAACTTTTTTTTTAATCAATTACAAACTAAATTACAAATAATGTTAATAGCAAGAACACTCAAGGACAAAAGGTGGGAGAAGAGAGACAAAAATCATAAAAAAGAAAAAAAGCTTTTTTTTTTAAAACATTTGCATTACAAACCCCAAGGTGCACATGGCAACAAATCCCCACCGATTCCCACTTAAAAAACTGCTATAACCTGAAATATAAATATAATTGTTCATCCTTCTTTTAAAGAAATATTTTTTTCCCAATGTCCCCACTCAGGCACAGCCCTAAAAAAGTGTCAGCATTCTCAAAATGAGGTCTTAACCTTAACTTTCACTCCTATGGGCTGGCCTTCAGAGGGAGATGGAACCTAGCACCTGAAGAACTAAGAATCTTAAAAAGAAGAGAAAAATTGAAACATCTTTCACTTGCCTCATAAGGCCTCGGTGAAGCACAGTCCCTGACCCAGAGCCTCCCAGACACCCCTTGCCTGTAGGAGGACAGGCAAGAAGATAAGGAGCAATCATTTCTACTGCAGCCCCAGCAGGACTGCAGAGACTGGGAGTCTGAGACAGGGAGTCTTGAGTCTCCCAGACTGTTAGGTGAGATGAAGCACTAAAACTAGGGTATAAACTGGTTGGATCTATTTTTTTAACCTAATTCTTTAAAACAGCCCCCTCGCCATGTTTTTGTTTTGCTTGGTTTTCAAAAGTTCCAACTTAGTGCCCCTGCTATCAGTTGGCCTTACACAGGGCTGTGGGAGGTTTGGGGTCTCTGTCACCTGAAACAGAGAAAATAATAATTGCGGAGCTTTCAGAGACTGGGATGGCAAACCCTATGTGGAGGAAGGAGAAACAGTCTTTTTTCTTTTTTTTTTAAATACCATCCCTCCTAAGCAATGACTAAGAGGAAGGGGAGAGCATGGTGCAGATTAAGTGCATGTAATATTGACGCTTCCTTTCAATTTCACCTATTTCTCCCCTCCACCCTCTCTCCCCAGAGTTGGCTGGCTAAGAGGGGCAGGTGAGTGCTAAGGCAGCCAGACAAGATCAGTGAGCTAAGAGCCCTGGGCCAAGCCAGATCATGCCCCCACTGGAGAGGGTGAGACTGGGAGTAGGGGCTTGAGAAAGCCATCAGAGTCGAAGGTGAGGTACTGGCTTGGTCACATCCTGGAAGAAAGGGTGAGCCAAAGCTGCCTTTGCTGAAATCCGCTTGTTGGGGTCGTAGTGCAGCATTTGCTGGAGGGAGAGATGTATGCTGACGTCAGTAATGTGATAATGGAGTAAATGGGCAGCAGGTGTTTTGAGAAATCAGGAAACAATTCCTTTCACCCAAGGCAGAGTTCCCATTTCCCTCCTTCCTGTATCTAATGGGTGCACAACAGCGAGAGGGAAGCAGGGGCTAGGGAAATGCTGAGACCAGGAGTCCAGGGCCTTATTCTTCCTTCATCCTGGAAAAACCCTGCCCTGGGGGAGTGAATGAGAGGAAATGGGTGCCTACTCCCCACTCTCACCGATAACAAGCTCCGTCCATCTTCATCCAGGGGGGGCACAACTTTGCTAAAATCTTGCCGGGCCCACTTGGGGAAACTTGGCTTATAATCAGGCATAGAAGTAACTCCTGGCCAAACCACCTCATCTGGGGTCCCCAGAGTCCGAAAGATCCGGAAGAGTTGGTCGATCTCAGAATCTCCGGGGAATAGGGCCCGCCGGGTCACCTGAAAATGGGGAAAGAGGAAAAGCCAAGACCCACATTGACGTCAGTCAAAACTGCCCACTGGATAATGGAGGTTCCCACAGGCAGTGGAAGGTCAGCAGGGCCCGATGACTCCCTCCCCAGGGCCTTTCATGGGGTCAGTCAAACAGAGCCTGAGACAATGAAGTCCCTTTATCTGTCTCCTTGCCCCCTCCTTCCTTCCCCCAACCATGGCTTTGCAGATCCCCAAGGCTGGGTGGGGCTGGGAGGGGGTGAATGTCTGGGGTGCCACTGACATGTAGCAAAGGGATCCCAAGCCACTCACGGGGTGTGGGGTAGACACTGCGGTCATCCCCCCTCCTTGTGATGCAGCCACTTCTAGATAGGAGCACAGCGGGCAGAGACTGTGTCTTCCATTTCTTCTGTGTTCCCCACAGCACCTAGCATGGTGCTGGGTACACACTAGGTGCTTAACAAATATTTTTTGATGAATTGAGAGACGAATATGGGCAATTGTAAAGTAATGCACTGGGGGATAAATGCACATTATATATATGGGCTAATGGTCTCCATGCCCCCAGTTACAACCCAGATAAGGGACCATAAAACATACTGCTGATTTGATTTGAAAACTTAGCTCACTCCACTGTTGTATTAAAGGGGATGAGAGCTCCCTTATAAGGCTGGGCCTCAGGGATCCCTCAATCTGAAAAGCCAGAGGTTGAGGGGGGATGTGATCTAAGTCTGCAGTTTAAATAAAAGGTGTGGGTAAGGTGAACACAGTTGGCCTCACCACATTCCTAGTGCCCTACAATAAGGTCTACAGGCCAAATGAAGGGGACACTAAATGGAACTCATTTTCCCAAATATATGCAGGTTAAAGCTAAAACAGTTGCAGAAATGATTTAGCTCAATTCAGAGATAAGATATGTATACTGCATGCTAAACCTGTTTGAGGATATCCTAACATTGTGGTTGACATCAGGGATGACAGTCTTATCCTCTCCCCACCACCCGCTTTGTGCTACTCTAGAGGAAGGACCCTGTGATAAGAGAAGGGCCATGGGTCTAGGCCAAGAAACAGTTCTGTCGTTCTTGAATGTGGGGAGGAGGGGGCTGGGTAGAACTCGGGCATGCTTCCATACCATCTCAGCAAAGATGCAGCCCAGGCTCCAGATGTCCACAGCTGTGGAGTAGTATTTGCAGCCCAGAAGGATTTCAGGTGCTCGGTACCACAGAGTCACCACCTGAGGACAAGCATAGGAAGGGGAGGGGTGGTGTATGGGGCATGAAGATTCCCACATCTCACTTCCTCAGGACTACTCTGCTAACTCAGCTTCTTAACAAGCAACTTCTTTCCCTCCATCCTTCCCTTCCCTCTGATTTCCCCTAAGTAAAATAACTGGGTTAGCCTAGTTAGCCTAGTCCATGGTTCTGGGGACCATATTTTCTGAACCCCCAATTTGCAACCTTCTTGGAAAACTTGAGGCAATCGGTCATAATTTTAATGGTGTGCCATCCAGCTCTCCTGGCTCGTTATCTATCAAAATATGAACTCTGTGTATACTCTAAGACCTCTTAGGGTGTCAGAGATACTTTCCATCTAGTGAGAGAGAAACTGCTGGCCAGATAGTTACTAAAAATGTTGTGAATGTCTCTGTTAACACCTCCCAGGAAATTCAGAGAAGACATGCAGAGAGGGACTCACCTCGTGGGTGTAAGTACGAACAGGGACTCCAAAGGCTCTGGCTAGTCCAAAGTCTGCTAGCTTGATGGCCCCCTCTGCGTTGATAAGCAGATTCTGAGGTTTGAGGTCTCGGTGCAGGACCCGATGAGAATGGCAGAAAGCTAGGCCCTGGAGCAGCTGGAACAGATAGCTCTGACAAGGGGAGAGAAAGGAATGTGTTTTTCCATCACCGTGAGAAGACTAGGGTCTCCTCTGTGCCTCCATAGTTCTACTAAAGCCTTCACTAGTTAGATAATAATTCCATGTTTATAAGCCATTTCCCTGATTGGACTGCCATCCCAGTGAGAATAAGGATCAGGTCTTATTCAGTTTTGCATTTCTTTTCCATATCCTGTGTTCAGCACATTGAAGGTGTTCAATAAATGTGTGTTGGATAAACCTTTGTTGATAGATTGAAAGTAGCTCTGGGAGTAAAGAACCCAGAAAAACAGACAATAGAGACTCACTGGCTATTTCTCCCACCAAGCAGGTGGAAAGGCTTTTTGGAGGCGTCTACCAAGTGCCCTCCAGTCCCATTTATCTGAGTTTCATCTCACCTTCCACCTGAGCTGCTAAGCTGACTCACTAGAGTTTCAGCTTCTTTGATTCTCCTGCCCAGCCTTACGGTTAATAAGTATAATGAGCAGTGAAGGAGCCACAAAAAAGGTATGTGTGATTGTGTGTGTGTGTGTGTGTGTGTGTGTGTGTGTGTGTGTGTGTGTGTGTGTGTGTGTGTGTGTGGGGGGATGAGGACTGGGAAGGAAGCTAAGATCACAAATCAACACTCAGTCTGGATTGCCTGCCTTCAGTCCCCCCAAGACATGCCCATGTTGGGAGCAGTTGACGAGAAGGATTACCTTTATGAGGGGAAGAGGAATGCCAGTGAGAGCAGAGGCATCCATGAATTTCTTGAGATCCTGGTGCAGAAACTCAAAAACCAGGTAGAGTTTGTTTTCTGTATGAATGACATCCAGCAGCCTAGAGAAGGGAGGTTCGGGGATAAAGGTGAGGGAGAGAAATGCCCAGACAACACAAACAGAAGGCATCCTCCTTTACTGTCAGAGCACCTCCCAGATACATACTTACTTGACAATATTAGGGTGGTTAAGCTCCTTTAGCAGAGATATCTCTCGTATGGCAGTACTGGGTACACCCTCCGTCTCACTTGGAGAAGTTGGGAGAGCAGAGATGGGAATGTGGTTACAAATATTCCTTTTCCCCCAGCCCAGTGATTCTACCCCACCCCCTGCCTCCCCACAGAGACACCACCCCAGCATCCCCTAGGAAAGTGAGAGAAGAGAAGGGGTGCTTCAGGGGTTAATTCATGGATGGACAGGACTGGCTTTTGGACACATTAAGGTCATTATTTCTTCTTTGCCCAGGGTTAGGTTAGCAAAGCCTCCTGGTGAAGGTGAAGAAGGTAACAGGTTAAAAAAAAAAAAAAAAGGGGGGGGGGGGGAGAAAGAAACTTAAAAACACTATATTCTTGTTTACTTAAAAAAATAAATAACATAATTTCCTTCAAGCCATGATGTTGTAATAGGGACTGGATTCAATCTTCAACATCAAAAAAGAAAAAAAAGGAAAGGGGGGGGGGAGTAGCAGCACCCAGCCTCTCTAGAGGGGCCAGTGAGGTTCAACTGCCATTCTTTTGAAAGGGGGAGAGAATTCTAAGATGAGGGTGGGGTTGGGGCAGTGAGGAGGGCTCGTCATTCAAAAAGGTGCTCTTTACAGCTTACTGCAAAACCCAGCTCCACAGGGAGTCCTGGAACCCCCATCTCAGAGGCCTCCTTCCTCTTCCTAAGTCTTTCTGACTGTACATTTGGGGGCATCACCCGCCTTTAGGGAGGAAATTTCCCATGGATTCTACACTACCCTATAGTCTCCCCCGGGAAACCCTCTACTCATCCTTCAACCCACCTCTCCACTTCAAAAGAAGTCCCTCCCTGCTACCTTCCGGTCCCTGGATGGCCACCGCCGGTTGGGGTGGGGGTAGGGGGCACTCAAGGAGCTCCCGAGTAAGGAGTCCCGGGTACAGAGGCCACTCACGTGTCCAGGCGGATTTTTTTAAGCGCCACCACTTCTCCCGTCACCTTGTTTTTGGCTTTGTACACAACTCCGTACGTGCCCTCTCCGATCTTTTCCACTTTTTGGAAGTTCTCCATGAAGCGCTAGCGAGTCGGGTCAGCCCGGCCCTGGAGCGGGGGCCTGGGAACCCTGCAGAAAGCGGCACCCAGCTCTCGGGGGCCGAGGAGGGGAAACAGGGCCCAGTGCCGTGGCCCCAGGTCGGGATGGAACGCAGTGTATCTCTCGCTCTTGTCAATTTGTCCAACTTGAAACAATGTTACCGCCTTCCCCCAGTTCCCTACCGCCACCAGAAGCCCCGCCCCTCCTTCCCGCGTTTCCATGGCTCCGCCCCCAGATCTTCCTATTGGTCAACGTCAGAGCGGGAGGGGCCAGCCCTGCGTCCCTCTCTGCAAACGACCACGACCCGCGCAAGTTTGGTTCCGAGGGGCATTAAGACAAGTTTCAACGTAGGTGGGGAGGCTGAACACCTTTTTCCAAGTATCTGATTTGGGACCGAGTTTCCTACCTGTGTCCTGAGTCTATAGGGATTTCCTGATCTCTAATTCTCCGTTTTCACCACCCCTAGGAAAATGTGTATTGACCTAAGATTGAATGCCACCTGGTCCAGGGAGCCTCCTCTGAAAGCAGGAAGCTGGGAATCTCATTGTAAGGGTCTCCCGGGCCTCGGAGGAGTCGTTGCCTCCGTCTCTCAGCCTACCCCGATACTGTCTCTCTTTGATTTTGGATACAGGGTCACTGCTTCTACAGTCTTTTTGAGAGGTTCCTGGTTTGACTCACAATAAATTGATGAATCATGTGTGTCCGGTACGTGTTTTGTTTTGTAGTTGCCCTTCAGTCAGTTCTTTCCACGGGGGGATGGAGTGCTCTAAGATGAGCGTGACCCTGTGAAACCAGAAACTGTCACTGAGTAGCGGGACGTCCAGGGACCAGGATCCCTCCTCAGTTCTGCCTTTCTCAGGTCCTCCTGCTCCTCCCAGGCCTCCCCTGCAGGGAGAGGGGGAAGGGTTATGTAAATGAGCATCCGTTTCTTATATAGGGGCTTGTCCTACGCCCTAGCGCCTTTAGTTGATGGAAAGAAGAACAGGATGGATCTGGTGCTGAGAAAATGCCTTTTCCATGCGGCTGTGATGGGTGCTCTTCTGGCTGTGGGGGCCACAGAAGGTGAGTGTGGGGTGTGTGGACATGAGCAAGTGTGAATTTGGGGTTGCACACCTGCTCTGGTTTTCCCCTCCCTAATGGGAGATAACCAGCAATGCTTCTGGCATCTCCCACCCATTTGATTTAGTGAGGACATGGGCAACTGAGCTCCCTCCCCACATGAAGATTTGGGACTCAGCCTGAAAATAACTCCATTTGCTTGGAAGGGCAAGAGAATAGTGGGTCTTTGTGGCCCTAATTCTGAGACCCCCTGGGCAGTGAGCTGGAGTGGGGGCTCCAAGGGAGTAAAATGAGTGGGAGACTCTTTTAGGCAATGTCTCAGGCACTTGGGATAGGGTATTTAAAGTGAGGAGCAAGAGAATGTATTGGATAGAGGGTAAAGAGGCACAACATCCCCTCTTTGGGATGGGCATAGGCGAACACAGCCCAGGCTTTTGTTCTGGGGCTGGGAGAAACAGGCAGAGGGGTCTCAGCTGAGCATCACATGAAAGAGCTCTGGGGGATTGGGGCCTCGTGACAGGAGCAAGGGCGGGTGGTGGTGGTGAGAAGGTCTGGAATGTCCCGTGCTGCTTTGAGGAGGGAGGGTTGGGAGTGGAGAAAGAATGGGGCATCTTATAATTCTCTCGCTCTCACGGTGGGATGCTCAGTGGGATGATTCCAGATCCTCCCCCAGCAGAATCAACCAGGTTTCTGGTACATATTAGAAACGGAGTGAGGATAGTCTCTGCTGTGCTGAAATATCTGCATCATATTCCAGTGCCCCCCTTTCTCTAGATCCCTGGTCTCACAGACTTCTAGGAAGTTCTCCTTGATCTGACTTCCCTCATTCATGGTGCAGTTTCAAGTCTTTTTCTTTTACTACGTTCCTTATTATACTCTGGAAACATTCTGTTCATATATGTCCACCTGAGGCTCTTAAAATATTGTGCTTACTTTTTGGATCCTGATTTTTAAAATCATAAGAAGACATTTTTAGATATTCATGAAATTTTGTATGGACTGGTTTCAATAATTTTGTCTAGTGTGAACTAGCATTGTGTTTATTCAAGAAAATATTTCTTCTTTACAGATACATATTGAATTTGTACGGTTTTAAATAACATTATGTCTGGGATTTGCTTGTGAATGCTTTAGCCAGGGACTTCCCTGGTGGTCCAGTGGTAAAGAATCCACCTTCCAATGCAGGGGTCACAGGTTAGATCCCTGGTCGGGGAATTAAGATCCCACATGCCGTGGGGCAACTAAACCTGCACACCACAACTACTGAGCTCGCGCGCCTCAAGGAGAGAGTCCACGTGCCACAAACTACAGAGCCCATGCGCTCTGGAGCCCCCGCATCCTGGAGCCCACGCACCACAACTAGAGAGAGAAAACCTACACGCCACAACTAGAGAGAAGCCCGCATGCTGCAACAAAAGATCCCACATGCTGCAACTAAGACCTGACACAGCCAAAAAAAATAAAGGAAGGAAAGAAAGGAAAGAAAGAAAGAAAGGAAAAGAAAGAAAGAAAGAAAGAAAGAAAGAAAGAAAGAAGAAAGAAAGAAAGAAAGAAAAGTACAGCATTAGAAATGAATACTCTAAAAAAGAAAATTAAATGCTTTAACCAAAAAACAAGCCAACAAAGCAAATGTGGCAAAATGTTGATAGTTGTTGGATCTGGGTGAGGCATGTGGAGAGCCATTTTTTCTTTCAGACCTCTCTCTTGGTCAGTTATAATAATTTTGTTTGTCCCCACTCCCAGTTTCTACCTGCCTCTGGTCCATCCTCCTCACTGCTTGCTGAAGTGATCCTTCTAAAACACAAATCTGATTATATTCAAAAAGTTTTGAAGGGTAAATTATGTGGTATGTGAATTATATCTCAATACAACAAACAAAATCTTCTGAGGTGGACTTGCCTACAGGATAAAGGCCAAACTCCTTCACCTGGCGCTCAAAGCCCCCACCCCATCTTCTTGGCCTCATCTCTCACGGTGTACCTCAACCACACTACTAGTGGTCCCCTATCATGCCATGTGCTTCCACACATCCATGCATCTGCTCATGCTGGGCCTTCTGCCTAGAATGCTTTATGCCACTCCTCATCGGATCCTTCCCAGTCTACCAGAGTGGAATTAATCTGTTTATTCTGTCATTTTGTTGTACATCGTGCATGTTTATTATGGCTCATATTAAGCAATGCCTTGAATTATAGTAATTTATGTATATGTCTATTTCATCTACTTTAACCTGAATCTCTTTAGGACCATTTCTTTTTCATTTCTTAAGTTCTTTGCACCTAGCACAGTGCCTGGTACATGGTGGGTATTGGGTAAATTAAAATGCACTTTGAATGTGAGAATGAGTGACGTGACATGGAACACTGTGGTCCCCTGAGAAGGGAGTATTGACCTGAGGGCCCTCATTATACCTTCCTTTTAGGACCCAGAGACCCGGACTGGCTTGGTGTCTCAAGGCAGCTCAGAACTAAAGCATGGAACAGGCAACTATATCCAGAGTGGACAGAAAGCCAGGGGCCTCACTGCTGGAGAGGTAGGAACTTGGCAATTTCTGGGGAGGGTATGGTGGGAATGGGGTGGGGAGAGGAGAGGAGCAAGAACTGGGTTGAACGTCGGTTGAGAAGACAGAAAGGGAAAAGGCATATGGGGAGGGGAAAAGCCAAGGAGTCCCAGCTAACACAGCTGCCCTTTCCAGGTGGCAAGGTATCTTTGAAGGTCAGCAATGATGGGCCTACATTGTGCGGAGCAAACGCCTCCTTCTCTATTGCCCTGCACTTCCCTGAAAGCCAAAAGGTGCTGTCAGATGGGCAGGTCATCTGGGCCAACAACACCATCATTAACGGTGGGTACCACTCCACTCCAGGCCTCATTCCCAGGGCTCAGCTCATGCCCCTTCTCCTTCTTCTTCTTTTTTTAAACAAATTATATATGTAATTAGATTAGAAAACACAGACAAAGCACAAAGAAAAAAAAAAACTGTAGTCCCCAAAATGGGGGACAGAAGACCCAGTGGATTTAGAAGTTGGACAGACTTGGATTTAAACCTGTTACCAGTATGTGATCCTGGGCAAGTCACTTAATTGTTTTGTGCTTCCATTCCCTTAATCTGTAGAATAGGGATGATACTACTTTAAAAGGTTGTTGTAAGGATTAAAATGTAATAATATATAAAGAATTTAGCATAATGCCTGCCCTAGCCTACAGTAAAGGCTCAATAGATGTTAGCTGGTGCTGTTATTTTTACTTTTATCCCACTAGCCAGAGCAAATCTTTCTAAACATTTTGATACATTTCCAATCTCTTTCTCTCCACTCTCTATGTATATACTTACATAGGTATCTTTTTTTTTTTTTTGGCCGCTCAACATGGAGGATCTTTGTTCCCTGACCAGGGATTGAACCCATGCCCCCTGCATTGGAAGAGTGGAGTCTTTTAACCACTGGACCACCAGGGAAGTCCCTACAAAGGAATCTTTAATTATAGTTTCCATTCTCCCCACTACCACCCACAGTGGGTTATATCAAGGAGAATATATTTTGTAGCTAGGGAGTATTCCCAGAGCCCTGCTCTGGGAGCCATGTTATAGGTTTTGGTATATAATAAGGAATGCCAGCATTTGAGGGTGACTTTGTATCTTCCTTTCAGGGAGCCAGGTGTGGGGAGGACAGCCAGTGTATCCCCAAGAACCTGATAATACCTGCATCTTCCCCGATGGGAGGGCCTGTCCGTCTGGCCCTTCACCTCAGAGAAGCAGCTTTGTTTATGTCTGGAAGACCTGGGGTGAGAGACTCCCTTCTCTGGCCTGTCACCCACACTTGATTCATCTCTTCCTACCTGATCCCTTTTCTTTTGGTCCCACCCCTAAACCCTGTGAGTTTCCCTAATCTTCACCTCCCCATGACTCCTTCCACAGCACCTAGCTAACTCTATTATACTTCTTTCTGGGAACCCTTCTCCAATTACAGTCCCATCCCATGGAACCCCTCGTTAGGACTCCTTTCCTGCCCTCATAGACAAGCTTCCAAACACCCTCTGAAATAACCATCCTCTCAATATATCTCCTGACCTTCTTTCTCTGGTGCCCTGTCTCTAACCCTTCCCCAGTCCCCTTTGACCAGTAACCCCCTTCTCTACTCTTCTTTCCAAAAACCTCAGGCCAATACTGGCAAGTTCTGGGGGGCCCAGTGTCTGGACTGAGCATTGGGACAGGCAAGGCAGTGCTGGGCACACACATCATGGAAGTGACTGTCTACCACCGTCGGGGGTCCCAGAGCTACGTATCCCTCGCTCACTCCCGCTCAGCCTTCACCATTACTGGTAAGGACTTAGGAAGGGACAAGGCCAGTCTCAGGGCAGGAGGAGGTGGGAAAGCTTGGCTGGGCAGGAAAGGGGAAAGAGGAAATGATGTGTAGGGGCACCTTATAGGGGCAGAGCCAGGAAGACATGGGCAGAGGAATGTGGGGCTTGGAGCCAGTGAAGGGCCAGGCAGCTTGGGGTTAGAGGATGTGGCTGTGAAAGAAGAAGCTGTGGCCCAGACCTGGTTCTCACCTTTTCTGGCTCCAATCTCAGACCAGGTGCCCTTCTCTGTGAGCGTGTCTCAGCTGCAGGCCTTGGATGGAGCAAACAAGCACTTCCTGAGAAAGCAGCCTCTGACCTTTGCCCTCCGGCTCCACGACCCCAGTGGCTATTTGGCTGGGGCCGACCTCTCCTACACCTGGGACTTTGGAGACAGTACTGGGACCCTGATCTCTCGGGCACTTGTGGTCACTCACACTTACCTAGAATCTGGCCCAGTCACTGCACAGGTGGTGCTACAGGCTGCCATTCCTCTCACCTTCTGTGGCTCCTCCCCAGTTCCAGGCACCACAGCTGGGCATGTGCCAACTGCTGAGGCCCCTGGCACCACTGCTGGCCAAGTGCCTACTGCAGAAGTCATAGCCACTACACCTGCTCAGGTGCCAACTGCAGAGCCCTCTGGAACCACAGCTGTGCAAGTGCCAACTGCAGAGGGCACAGGTACCACAGCTGGCCAAGTGCCTACTGCAGAAGTCGTGGCCACTACACCTGCTCGGGTGCCAACTGCAGAGCCCTCTGGAACCACAGCTGTGCAAGTGCCAACTGCAGAGGGCACAGGTACCACACCTGAGCAGGTACTAACCTCAGAAGTCATAAGTATCACACCTGCAGAGATGCCAACTGCAGAGGCCATAGGTACGACACCTGAAGTGTCAACTGCAGAACCCTCTGGAACCACAGTTGCACAGGTAACAACTACAGAGCTGGTGGAGACCACAGCTGGAGAGGTACCCACCCCTGAGCCTGACAGTCCAGATGCCAGCCCATTCTTTTCTACAGAAGGTATTACAGGTAAGAGGGCCAGTATGAATGAGGTTCATTGAGGTGGGGGCATTTGTCACAGCTCTAAAACCTGAAAGACTTACTCTGGATCCAGATGTTACCCAGTCCTTAGCTTACCAGTGGAGTCCCTTCAGAGTCTTCACTGGTTTTAAAGCCCCCCAAGTCCCTCTTAATGGTATGGAAGAGATCCAGAGTTCAGGAAACCCGGGTCTTCTCCTAGGCCATGGGGAGAGAGCTTGTTGCTCCTCTGTCTCTGAAAAGAGCTGTTCCCTAAAGTGAAGGTCAGGGAGCAGTCTGTGATCATTTACATAATACTTATATCTCATTTTCCGATTAAGTGTAAATGCATAGAAATCATTCCCAGTTTCTAACACCATCATTTCCCACTTCTGGATTCCCATCCCAAAGTAGGTTTACCTGGAATTGTGGTAGAAACACTGAAAAGGGAGGAATAAGATAGTGACACTATAATGAGTTAACATATGTCAAGTGTCTAACCCTGGCACAGTGTGGGGTGTGATAAACATTTGGGATTTTTAAAACCCCAGCTCTACCCCTAACTGTGACTCTGGGGCAGTCATTTCTCCTCCTGGGCCTCAGTTTCCTTATCTATAAAATGAGATTTCCCAGCTCTTGCCTGATTGCAAGCCTGGATCCAGTAGCTCTGGCTCTACCTGGAAAAATGCCTGCTCGGCCTCTGTTTCCAGGTGTCATTTGTCTCATGACTTTGCCTCTTCAATCCTCTCCTGCCAGGCTCCCAGAACCCCCTGCTGGATGACACAGCCACCTTAACCCTGGTGAAGCGACAAGTCTCCCTGGATTGTGTTCTGTATCGATATGGCTCCTTTTCCCTCACCCTGGATATTGTCCGTGAGTCTTGCCTACTTTGGGAGCTGGTGGAGGGAAGGCGTGTGCTGCTTAGGGCTGCCCAGTGGAAGCACACCCTGGAAGGAGTTACTCACCTGAACAAGAATACCCAAATCCCATTTGAAGGCATGAGGACGGGATCGGGGAGGTAGCCCGAGGACCTTCCTGTCCGTGGGCCTTTGGGGAGGACTGGTAGAGGAGTCCCAGACTTAAAACCTTGCAACTTTGCAGAGGGTATTGAGAGTGCTGAGATCCTACAGGCTGTGCCATCCAGTGAAGGAGATGCATTTGAGCTGACTGTGTCTTGCCAAGGCGGGTGAGTGTCCCACTGGTTGCCCCGAGAACTCTTGGGTTGACTGCTGCCCTGCTCTCTGGTGTCTACTGTTCCTTCCCAGACTCCCTGACATAAGCTGACATCTCTCCCAGGCTACCCAAGGAGGCCTGCATAGACATCTCATCGCCAGGGTGCCAGCCCCCTGCCCAGCGGCTGTGTCAGCCTGTGCCACCCAACCCAGACTGCCAGCTGGTTCTGTACCAGGTACTGAAGGGCGGCTTGGGGACCTACTGCCTCAATGTGTCTTTGGCTGACGCCGACAGCCTGGCAATGGTCAGCACCCAGCTTGTCATGCCTGGTAGGTACTTGGACAAGAGGTCGGATGAAGAAGGGGAGTGGTACAGGATATGTGACAGGAAGCACATGCTGACTATAGCTATGTCTGGGATTCTGCCTGTAGGTCCAGAAGCAGGCTTCGGGCAGGCTCCCCTGTTCTTGGGCATCTTGCTGGTATTGATGGCTTTGCTGCTCGCATCTCTGGTATATAGGTGAGAGCCACACCATGCCGCTCACACCCCCTTATCCCTTAGCACCACCGTTCATTCTTCCTCAAGGCAAGAAGGAACCACCACCCCCCTCGAGAAAGCATAGTGTCCAGGAAAGAGCCCAGATTTGGAAGTTAAACAGGTCTGGGCTGCAGTCTTGCTGGTGGGATCCTGGGGAAGTAGTTTAACCTTTCTGAGCCTCTGAAAGGGAGGAAAACTGACACCTGCCCTGTGAGGCTGTTGTCAGGACTCTAGACAATGGGCAAAGCACCTGGTTCTGAAGCAAGAGTGCAATAAATGATGATCTTGATGATTTTTGTTATGAATAATATCAAGAGTGGAGAAGGCTGGGTGAAGTGAGTTCTCCACCTGCATGAAGGGCAAATCCCTAGGTCTGGGGTGCCAAGGGCCTCAAAGCAGGGAAGCTTGTAGGGTGAGAGGGGAATGGACAGAGGTTACCACAGAAATAAGAGAGGATGAACTCTGTTGGTGAGAAGGAGGGGAAGGAGCCAGGATCAAGGCCAAGGAAACCTGGGATATGATTTATCCTCTTGGTTGGAGAAGCACAAACAGGCGGCCATTGACTACCGCTAACCAGTATCCCTGCTTTTCTCCCAATATCAGGAGAAGACGTACGAAGCAGGGCCCAGCTCTCCCCCTTCGCCAGCTGCCACCTGGCAGAACCCAGTGGCTACGTCTGCCCTGGGTCTTCCGCTCTTGCCCCATTGGTGAGAGCAGCCCCCTCCTCAGTGGGCAGCAGGTCTGAGTACTCTCACGTGATGTCATGATTTACCCAGCGTGGACAGCAATGCCTATCTTTTCTCCAGTCTTCCCTGGGAAACTACCATTGCCTGAAATAAAGACTCAGAACCTGGTGCTGTTATTTCCTTACTTCTGGGAGAATCTATGTCAATAAAGGAGTGGAGGTATAAAGGAAGGAGGTGTACCACTTACTTAACAGATATCCCAGTGGGAAAAAAAGTCATTTTATTTAGATGAGGCACTTTCAATGTGTTGTTTGTGATGTGTGTGTGTATGTGTGTGTGTGCACATGTGCATGGGGAATAGTGGAGATGGTGCAGGATAATAAATACTGTGAGGGTGAAGGAACACTCCCCTGAGCTGGCAGGAGTGTTTGGCAGCAATGTACAGAGCCTAGGGAGTAGAGTCCAGGCACAAGGAGGTGGGCTCAAGGCTGGCTTGGTGGCTGAGATGTCCCCCCTCAGCATAAGAAGCCAAAGAAATTGGAGGAGCGGGGGGGTGGGCCCATGAGCATGGGCATCTGGTTCCTGTGGGTAATCTTGATCTGGAAAGGAAGGAGGCGCATTCAGAGATAAGACCTAGTGCCTTGGGGCTGGAGCAGCAGAGATTTGGGGGAAAATCTGTAGGGTTCAGGGTGGGTTGCCAGGGTCCTAGAGAGGCCATGGTAGGAAGGCCAGGGGCTGAGAAATCAGGATTTGGGAGGAAGGGTGCACAGGGGAACTTGAGGCCTCGGCAGGAAGTAAAGAAGCTGTGGAATGGAAATTTAGGATCCACAGAGCCTGGGGGTTCAGTTTTTGGCAGGCATAGGCAATACTCACTGTACAGGGTGTCTGCATCCAGGGTTCTCCATCAATTTGCATGGGGAGGGTTCTTGTGGTGCTGTGTGAGGTCAAGGCAGATTGGTGGCAATTTCTTTATCAACCGAGTACCAGAGCTCTGTTCTTAGGTTGGCCTTGAGACCCTTTGTTACTGAGGAAGGTCTGGTACAGTCCCTCCCCACCATTCCCATACCCTTCTGCTTTCCTGGTCCCACTCCTTCCCTCAGAGCCCCCAGCTTGAGTTTTCCTTACTGGAAGGTGATCTCAGAGCATTTGGCTAGCCGATGTCCAGCATTCTTGAGCTTGGTATAGATCTGGCCCATCTCAATTGCACCCTCCAGCCCTACTACTTCCAGCCGCTTGTCGCTTAGGTCTGGGGGGGGTGGGTGGGAAGAAGGGAGACAGGTTTTGTAGAAGCAGGGTTCCTCCAAAGAGAGTCACACCTTCTCCTTAGTCCCCCCCCCCCCGGGAGACAGGTTTTGTAGAAGCAGGGTTCCTCCAAAGAGAGTCACACTTTCTCCTTAGTCCCCCCCCCCCCCCACTCAGCTCCCAAGGCTGCTCCTCTTACCTGGTACGCAGGTTTTCAGGATATCAGGGTCGGTGATCACTTTGGCTGTAGCACCTAAGGCCTGGTTGATCCCGTGGATATCGCTGTGTGGTCTCTTGGTGTCACCCCAGAGATTGGAGCCCCCATGAGTGCTCGGGATGTTTAGCACTGCGATGCCTTCTAGGGACAGGTTGCTCAGATCCAGTGGCTTCCCACAGATCTGAGGGGCGGAGAGCACAGATCCTTGCCTCACGGCATCGTGATGGACGTGAGCGCTCCCTCCACCAGATAACACACTGGGAAGACTAGGATTTGGAGGTTTGCAAGAGGTGGAGGGAAGTAGGGACTGGTGTATCTTAAGAACTTGGGAAATCGGGATTAGAGGGCAGGGAGGTCGGAGTATAGGTTCAAGAATATGAGAAGTTCCTGAGGGCTCCCGTGGAGGGAGAAAGTAAGATATAAGGGGCTAAAAAGGAGGTGGGGTTGGCTCTCGTCACACCCACCTCAACTGTCAAAGATTCCTCCAGCCTTTTGCACGTTGAGAAGATGGATTCAGAAGTGGCAAATTCGAAGTACCATAGCTTGTTTTTCATTCTGTGTCGGCCCCAACGCCAGGCCCAGGAGGGAGGGGACAAATTACACAGTGCTGGCACAGGTGGGCTAAGTGACAGGGAAAGGCATCAACCTCCCAACTGCAGTCCCGTGGGGAACAGGGAAGCTTGGTTGAGGGGCTTCCTAGAGGTGTCACTGCCCGTCTAAGCACTGAGTCAAACTTGGCCACCACGTGGTCCCTGCTACTGTGTATGCCCACACCCGCCCCCTTTCCCTCACCTGCTGTTGAACTTCTCAGGATATTTCTCCCGCATGATGTGAAATCGGTGAGCAATAGAGGCATCCTGGGGAGTCCAGGGCATATGAGATCAGAGGCTGCCTCGTTCCTCAGCACAGAACCCTCTCTCTCTAACTCTCCAGTTTGGGCGTGATACGTCCCACATTCTGTTTTTTTTTTTTTTTTCGTCCCACATTCTTTTCTTGCAACTCACACCACTGTGCCCACTTGTGATTTCTGTGTCACAGCGCCTTTACCCTCTACCTTACTTTTCTGCCCTCCTCCAGCCTCTGCCTGCTTAACCCCCACTTCCTCCCGTCCCCCCCATGCCCCACTCCACTGACCACACCAATGGAAAAGTAGTTATTGATGATTTGAAAGGGGACTGGGTCACTCTTTTCTTCAGTTTGTTGGGGTATCACCTCCACAGACCATCGATCCATGTGTACCACCTTACTCGTCTCTAAATCCTTGAGGATCTTCCCCAGATTCTGTCCCTCATACCCTAAGGATGGTATGAAGACAGGTTAGCACTGAACCCTGGGTCCCAAATGGACCTCCTCTCAGCTCCCAGATCCACAGATTCCCAGGGATCCTCTGCCCTGGTTCTGCAGATCCTCCAAGCCCTAAGCAGTGAAAGGGCAGGGTGTTCAGCCATGGCTCCCATGGACCAATCTTAAGGTCAGACTCTTAATGACCCTTTTCTCCACACTGTCACTGTCATGGAGGGTGAAAGTTCCCAATGTGTGTGCGCATCTAACAATAATGCCAAAGGTCATTTGGAAGAGTAAAGAAAACAGCCAGGAAAATGAAAAGTGCTGAAAAAGATAAGTGATGAATGGGAATAATCTCTCTCTTTCTCTGACGCTTCCTCTCCCCATTCTACCAGATAGAACACAGTATAAAGCAAGGGTATCAAAACAGGGTAATAACTGGCACAGTGACTGGAATAAAAAGTTCAATAGTAAAGAACAGAGTGCCCAGAAATAGACTCAAGTACATAAGGGAATTTAGTATATCATGACATTTTAAATAAATGGGGAAAGATAGATTATTCAGTAAATGGTACTGGATGTAGAAGTCACCCCTTACACTAAAATAAATTCAAGATGGGTCAAAGAATTTAAATGTAAGCAGAATTTGTACTAGCAGAAAACATGAGTGGATGTTTCATAATCTTTGAGCGGAAAAAGCCTTTCTAAAGCATAATACAAAACTCAGAGCCAAACTAGAAAAAGACTGATAAATACAATTATATGAAAATTAAAAACTTCTGAAATCAAACAGAAATAAAGCAAATATATTTGGAATTTTCAAAATTGCCACAAAATAAACAGAAATAGTTCTGACAAAAAAATAAATAAAAAGACCTAACCAAGCAAACAAACAACTTCTGTACAGTTAAATAAACACATACCTAAATAAAAGACAAAAGACAAACTGGGAAAAAATATCTGTAGCACACGTAACAGACTAACTTCTCCAACATTCAAAAAGTGCTTACAAATCACTATATTTAAAAAGTCAGGGGGACTTCCCTGGTGGCGCAGTGGTTAAGAATTTGCCTGCCAATGCAGGGGGCACAGGTTCGAGCCCTGGTTCGGCAAGATCCCACATGCCGCGGAGCAACTAAGCCCGTGCGCCACAACTACTGAGCCTGCGCTCTTAGCCCATGAGCCACAACTGCTAAGTCCATGTGTCACAACTACTAAAGCCCATGCGCCTAGAGCCTGTGCTCTGCAACAAGAGAAGCCGCCGCAATGAGAAGCCCGTGCACCACAGTGAAGAGTGGCCCCTGCTTGCCACAACTAGAGAAAGCCCGCGTGCAGCAACAAAGACCCAATGCAGACAAAAGTAAATAAATTTAATACAAAAATAATAACACCATTAAAAAAAAATTAGGGACTTCCCTGGTGGTCTAGTGGTAAAGAATCTGCCTTCCAGTGCAGGGACCTCTGGTCTGGGAACTAAGATCCCACATGCCACGGGACAACTAAGCCCACGCACAGCTACTGAGCTCATGCGCCTCAGCTACAGAGTCCACGTGGTCTGGAACCCACGCACCACAGCAAGAGAGAAAACCCGCAGGCCACAACTAGAGAGAAGCCCGCGCGCTGCAACGAGCGCTGAGAGGAAAGATCCCATGTGCCGCAATGAAGACCGGAGGCAGCCACATAAATATTTTTTAAAAAGTCAGTAGAAAAATGGCAAATAACTCAAACCAATCACAGAAGAAATACAAATGGCCAATATTCATATTAAAGATGCTCAATATTACTAATAGTTAAAAGAATTGTAAATTAAAATTGTAAATTAGTTAACTTTTTGTGCCTATCAGATTGACAGACTATGAAGAGACTGAGAAAACCAAACGCTAATGGGATTATTAATAAACTGGCACTAATTGCTGTTAGTTGGAGCATAAATTGGTATTTCATTTTTGGAAGACAATTTGGCAACTTTTACCAAAACGTTATCAAATTTTATCAAAACATATTCTCTGACACAGCAATTCCACTTTTAGGAATTTCTCCTACAGAAACAAAAATCCACAGAGATGGATGTGTAAGGATTTTTGCTGAGGTACTCTGTAAAACAGCAAAATACTGGAAACAATCTAAATGTCCACCAGGAGGGGAAGGTTATATAAATTATGCCAAATCCATGCTATGAAATAATGTGCAGCTATTGAAATCAGAATGAAATCCCTATGTAGTATCATGGAAAGTTCTCCAAGACATATTCAATGAAAAAAGAAGTCCCAGGACAATGTGTGTAGTATGATCCCATTTATGTTTGTTTAAAAGTTATGTGTGTGTGTGAAAACAGGAAAATGAGTGCAAATAGGAAACAGTTATCTCTGGGGAGGAATGTGGAAT